TATGCTACAGGACTGCTTTGCTAGCGGTGATTGCGAGACTCCGCCGATAACGTCGACGAGCTAACCACCTCAAGTCGTCGGCTTCATTAGGAAATGCATCGGGTGACGTTGTCCCCAACAGTGAAGGTATGCTGCTTCCTTAATCAAAAGCTGTGGATTAACACAGAGGTTGGTGCTAAGAAAACAGACAGGGCTAGCGCACACAGGGCTATAGCAGCCAACCCCGGGGCTACGGCTGAGGACAGGAACAAGTACAGGAAGTCCCGCTAAGACCTCCGCCATTACTGGGCCGAGCTCCCTGCCACCCAGGACCTCTATATCAGACGGTGTGAAAGGAAGGGCCGGAAAATCGTTAAAAGACTCCAACCACTCAAGCCAGACTGCTCTCTCTGCTTCCTGCACGGCAAGCCGTAACGGTTCATCAAGTCTGATACCAACAGGCTCCTGAACAGCTTCTATTCCCAAGCCATAAGACCGCTAAACAGCTAACAAAATGGCTCCACAGACTATCTGAGTTTACCCTTATTTTTGCACTCTCTTTATGCACACCCACAGGACTCTACACACTCACGCACACTGACACTCAAACACGCATGCACACACATTTATACTGACTCTACACACACACACACACACACACACACAATCATCATATATGCTGCTGCTACTCTGTTTATCATTGAGTATATCCTGATGCCTAGTAACCTTACCCCTATACATATCTACCTCTATCTAGGCTTGTGTGGTATCCAGATGGTCATACCCTCAAACAGACCTTGTGCCATACCGGGATACTCTGTAAAACCGGCAGTGAACACAAGGGGTGCCGTTTTCAAAACCCACTGATACTCTGTAATCCGAAGGTTAGCAATGCTAACAAGTACATCTAAAATCACATGGAGAATGCTAACTAAATGCTAACTAATAGTTGCGTAAACTCTTCACAGCTGTGTTCTGTGGGTGTCACCGAGTAGACTGATACTCCATTTCATTGCTCCACATTCCAACCTTGTTTAATATTATCTAGTCTAAATATTGCATGATTTCACCAATTGTAACCTTTTGCGTCACTTTCAAAGAGGTACTTTTATTTTGAAGGCTAACCGCAAATTCCACTATTGTGGCTAATCCTTGTTGTGGCTATCTTCAGAACACATAACCCGGTCCGGTCAAGCCTCACCAGCCAGATGAAGTTTACTGGCTGCTTATAACGTTAGCTTTGGGCAACAGGGTTAAGTAGCTGGCTAGCTAGTTATTTTCATGAACTGAAGTTCAATTTCAAGTTCAAGTGGCTACCTTGCTAATACTTACTCACATGGATTCCTAAATCATTGCTAAGAATATTGAAAATGACTGCAGTTTCTATTGGTCATTGTTTTCAGGCTAACGTTAGGTGCATTGGTGCTAGCTAGGTAACGTTACCAAGCTAAAGCTAGCTAGCTACCCCAGAAGTTGCTAATAACACCTGTATCAAAGATATTTGGTGTGTGCTTGTTTGCAGACTTTTTTTTTTTTTTACAGCTTTGACAGTGCTACTGATGGTAGTGGTGGTGCTTGGCTTGACCATGCAAATTCAGCACACACAACATTCTATAATAGAATTGTGTTATTTGACATGTATCTATCTTTTTTGACACGCAAAGACCCAAACAGCGTTCCATACGTATATATTCTTACTTTCTCATGTTCTTCTTATTTCTATTTCTGGTGTGTTTTTGTTCTACCTCATGTTATTTTTAGCACTACATTGATATTGATTACTGCATTGTTGGGTTTAGAGCTGGCGAGGCATTTCACTGTACGTGCACACGTACACACGTGACATTAAAACTAATTTCACATACAGTAGAATTCCATCGCTAGGAACATCAGTGACTGAAGCAGCCTGGCCTGCGCTGTGTGTGAGTGAGTGACTGTGTGTGTGTGTGTGTGTGTGTGTGTGTGTCGTAGGTGTGTGTGTGTGTGTGTGTGTGTGTGTGTGTGTGTGTCGTAGGTGTGTGTGTGTGTGTCGTAGGTGTGTGTGTGTTGAAGCAGCAAGGCTGTGGCTTTAGGTAAAACTTAGAGCCTAACCCCCTCTACAAACACACACACACAGACAATAACGCTCTCTCTCCCCCTGGATCTCAGTTTCCATATTAGAGCTGGTGAGTTCAATGAGTGTAGGTGTTAAGAAGGACTACTGGACTGGAACTGGGCCCGTGGGAGTGCTGATCTAGGATCAGTATTTAGATCATAATAAAAAAGATGACATGGACAGGCAGGCGGGACCTGATTCTAGAACAGCACTCCCACTCTAAAAGGCTTTATGAATATGGCCTATGGCTACTGGGCAGTTAGGCTAGCTGACTGTAGTTTTAGCTGGAGTGTGTGTGTGTGTGTTTTTGTGTGTGTGTGTGTGTGTGTGTGTGTGTGTGTGTGTGTGTGTGTGTGTGTAGCTAAGACCTAACTGTAGCTTTAGCTAGGGTTCAGTCAGTGCACACTGCATACCACTGCATACCACTGCATACCACTGCTGGATGAAGCAAGAGGATCACGTGCCTCAAACTACAGATCCTCACAATTCTGCTGACTCAACTAAAAGCCAAACGCTAAACCAAACCACATTATTATTAACTAGTAACCACACAAGCTTCTTCCTTTTAGTCCCTGCGGCAGAAACTTAAAAAAATCAACATGAAAAACACACACAACAATAACAACACTCAGACATGCCAGAAGTCTTCAATAACGTGAAAACAATGTGAATGGGCATGCATTTCATCCTCTGTATTTTTCCTGTAAGTTGCTCTGGATAAGAGTGTCTGCTAAAATGACTAAAATGTCAAAACGTATTTAAATATAATCAAGGATTGAATCATGACAACACTAATGCTATGTAGCTATATATGGAAATTCATGGTTAGTGTCTCTCACCAGCAAATTCTTATAGAAAGCTGTTAGATAGAGAGAGGAAGGGCGTGAGAGAGAGAGCGTGAGAAGGATAGCGTGAGGGAGAGAGAGAGCGTGAGGGAGAGAGCGTGAGAGAGAGAGAGCAGGATGAGAGAACCAAGCCAATGGGTTCGTAGCTTCAACCCCGCGGCACACTTTCACACCAACTGATTAATGGACTGCTGAATGTATGTTTTTTTTTTTTATCTTGCTTTGTTTGCTCTTTTCTATATTATGTCTATCTCTGATAAGCTACCCAGGAAAGGGCTGAAAATAGCCCATAATAATGAATGTAGCCTTAGAAATAATGAAATCAATAACTTGCTAACATCAGATAACATTAATATATTAGCCATTTCTGAGACTCACTTAGATTATTCATTTGATGATACAGCAGTAGAAATACAATAATATAACATCTATAGAAGAGACAGGAATGCTTATGGGGGAGGTGTTGCTGTATATATTCAGAGCCATATCCCTGTAATGCTTAGAGAAGATCTTATGTCAAGTGTTATTGAAGTGTTGTGGTTGCAGGTTCACCTGGCACATCTAAAGCCTTTTCTTTTCGGGTGTTGCTATAGGCTACCAAGTGCGAACAGTCAGTATCTAAATATTATGTGTGAAATGCTTGATAGTTTATGTGATGTAAACAGAGAGGTCTACTTTCTTGGGGACCTGATTATTGACTGGTTTTCATCAAGCTGTCCGCTCAAGAGGAAGCTTCTCACTGTAACCAGTGCCTGTAATCTGGTTCAGGTTACTCCTATCTGTCCTATCTTTAATCTGAGCCTAGAGGAAAGTATTTGTCCTCAGGCCTGGAGGGAAGCCAAAGTAATTCCGCTACCCAAGAGTGGTAAAGCTGCCTTTACTGGTTCAACAGCAGACCTATAAGCTTCAAATCAAATCTAATCTAATCAAATTTTATTGACCACATTCGCCGAATACAACAGGTGCAGACATTACAGTGAAATGCTTACTTACAGCCCTTAACCAACAGTGCATTTATTTTTAATAAAAAAGTAAAATAAAACAACAACAAAAAAGTGTTGAAAAAAAAAGAGCAGAAGTAAAATAAAAAAACAGTAGGGAGGCTATATGTACCGGTGCAGAGTCAATGTGCGGGGGCACCGGCTAGTTGAGGTAGTTGAGGTAATATGTACATGTGGGTAGAGTTAAAGTGACTATGCATAAATAATTAACAGAGTAGCAGCAGCGTAAAAAGATGGGGTGGGGGGGCAGTGCAAATAGTCCGGGTAGCCATGATTAGCTGTTCAGGAGTCTTATGGCTTGGGGGTAGAAGCTGTTGAGAAGTCTTTTGGACCTAGACTTGGCACTCCGGTACCGCTTGCCGTGCGGTAGCAGAGAACAGTCTATGACTAGGGTGGCTGGAGTCTTTGACAATTTTGAGGGCCTTCCTCTGACACCGCCTGGTATAGAGGTCCTTGCTTGCTGCCAGGCAATGGTGTTTGACCAAATACAATGCTATTTCTCTGTAAACAAACTAACAAGAGACTTTCGGCAGGCTTATAGAGAAGGGCACTCAACATGTACTGCACTGACACAAATGACTGATGATTGGTTGAAAGAAATTTATAATAAGAAGATTGTTGGAGCTGTACTGTTAGATTTCAGTGCAGCCTTTGATATTATTGACCATAACCTGTTGTTGAGAAGACTTATGTTCCATCCCATATTGCTCAAATAAACAGCAAACCTGGTTTCAAAAAACAGATAAAGCAACACCTCACGGCACAACGCCTCTCCCCTATTTGACCAAATAGTTTGTGTGTATGTATTGATATGTAGGCTACATGTGCCTTTACATTTGTTTTATGTAGTTCTGTCCTTGAGCTGTTCTTGTCTATTAATGTTCTGTATTATGTCATGTTTCATGTGGACCCCAGAAAGAGTAGCTGCTGCTTTTGCAACAGCTAATTAGGACCCTAATAAAATACCAAAGGTCAGGGGAAATAATTATTCAGAGCAGTGGTCTGATGCATGCTACAGCGCTGGCGACAAACACACACACACACACACACACACACACACACCACACACACACACAATACCTTATAGGCCTGAGGAGAGTACCGATAATACAGGACCTTATAGGCCTGAGGAGAGTACCGATAATACAGGACCTTATAGGCCTGAGGAGAGTACCAATAATATAGGACCTTATAGGCCTGAGGAGAGTACCGATAATACAGGACCTTATAGGCCTGAGAACAGTACCAATAATACAGGACCTTATAGGCCTGAGGAGAGTACCAATAATACAGGACCTTATAGGCCTGAGAACAGTACCAATAATACAGGACCTTATAGGCCTGAGAACAGTACCAATAATACAGAACCTTATAGGCCTGAGGAGAGTACCAATAATACAGGACCTTATAGGCCTGAGAACAGTACCAATAATACAGGACCTTATTATGGCCATGAGGAGATTACCGATAATACAGGACATTATAGGCCTCCTGAGGAGAGTACCGATAATTACAGGGACCTTATAGGCCTGAAGGAGAGACCGATAATAAAGGACATTATAGGCCTGAAACAGTACCAATAATACAGGACCTTATAGGCCTGAGGGAGGGGAGTACCTAATACAGCGACCTTTAGGCCTGAGAAAACAGTACCATAATACGGACTTATAGGCCTGGAGGAACAGTACCAATACTACAGAACCTATAGGCCCTGAGGAGAGTACCAATAATACAGGACCTATAGGCCTGAGCACAGTACCAATAATTACAGGACCTTATAGGCCTGAGGAGAGTACCGATATACAGGACCTTATAGGCCTGAGGAGAGTACCGATAATACAGGACCTTATTAGGCCTGAAGAACAGTACCAATAATACAGGACCTTATAGGCCTGAGAACAGTACCAATAATACAGGACCTTATAGGCCTGAGAACAGTACCAATAATACAGAACCTTATAGGCCTGAGGAGAGTACTAATAATACAGGACCTTATAGGCCTGAGAACAGTACCAAGGGCCTGAGGAGAGTACCGAAATAATACAGGACCTTATAGGCCTGAGAACAGTACCAATAATACAGGACCTTATAGGCCTGAGGAGAGTACCGATAATACAGGACCTTATAGGCCTGAGAACAGTACCAATAATACAGGACCTTATAGGCCTGAGGAGAGTACCGATAATACAGAACCTTATAGGCCTGAGAACAGTACCAATAATACAGGACCTTATAGGCCTGAGAACAGTACCAATAATACAGAACCTTATAGGCCTGAGAACAGTACCAATAATACAGGACCTTATAGGCCTGAAAACAGTACCAATAATACAGGACCTTATAGGCCTGAGGAGAGTACCGATAATACAGGACCTTATAGGCCTGAGAACAGTACCAATAATACAGGACCTTATAGGCCTGAGAACAGTACCAATAATACAGGACCCTATAGGCCTGAGAACAGTACCAATAATACAGGAACCAAATGTAGTGCACTAAATAAGGGAATAAGGTGCCATTTGGGACACAGATGTTATAGGCCTGAGTGCCAACAATACAGGACCTTAGGCCTGCCTGAGTAATAAGATTCTGTATAATTTATATTCATGATAAAACCATTTATCATATATTATCCTAAGTGACTCATACATACACACTCAGACATTCAGCATATGTTGCCCATGTGGGAATCAAACCCACGACTGTTGTGTTGCCAGCAGACTGAGCAGGACAATAGCAACCAATACAGGACCTTAGGCCTGAATAATGATAAGTAGCCTTGCCTGAGTGAGAACGACCTATAGAGCTATCTCCTGTTTCTGTAGTGTGTAGCTTGACCTCAGGGTTTCCGCTTGCCAGCTATTGGCCAATATATATATTTTTTAAAGATGATGAATAAAACTGGCACCGGCCAATTGGTCAAGAAAATAAGAAAAAAATCCCATCGCAAAATAATGCTCTTTAGTCTAAATACATTAGACCGTCGTGGTTATCGGTCTATGGGTTCATTTGCATAATTTAGCAGTAAGCACAGCATACAAATCAAATGTTATTTGCCACATGCGCCGAATACAACAGGTGTAGACATTACAGTGAAATGCTTACTTACAAGCCCTTAACCAACAACGCAGTTTTTAAAAAAAAAATATTTAAAAAAAGTGTTAAGTAAAAAAAAACAAAATATCAAATATTTAAAGAGCAGCAGTAAAATACAATAACAGTAGGGAGGCTATATACAGGGGGGTACACCAGTACAGAGTCAATGTGCGGGGGCACCGGCTAGTTGAGGTAGTTGAAGTAATATGTACATGTGGGTAGAGTTAAAGTGACTATGCATAAATAATAAACAGAGTAGCAGCAGGGTAAAAGGTGGGGGTGGGGTGGGGGGTGGGGGGGGGGCAGTGGCAAATATTCCGGGTAGCCATGATTAGCTGTTCAGGAGTCTTATAAACAGAGCCTATGAACAGAAATCTGTCAGACAAAGCGAGCGCCGCTACAGCTCATCAAACAGATCATTCGTTGCATTACGTAGCAATTCTAAATGCAATCGCGTGTTAAAAACAGTTTTGATGGCCACGATTAAAATTAGCTACTATTTTTATTCCTCAACTGGTAATTGAAGCGCTCTTCCCATTCACCGTTCATGTGCTTATAGGCAACGGTAGGCAGGCTTCAGCACGCCACACACCACTTTGCAATGAGCTGGAGGCAGTAAGCATTTTGAAAACATATACAGTGCATTACGAAATGTATTCAGACCCCTTTACTTTTTCCACATTTTGTTATGTTACAGCCTTATTCTAAAATTGATTACATTATTTTTAATCTACACACAATACCCCATAATGACAAAGCAAAAAAACATGTTTTTAGAATTTTTTGCAAATCTATTAAAAATAAACAACAGAAATACCTTATTTCTGTTGTTATTCAGACCCTTTGCTATGAGACTCGAAATTGAGCTCAGGTGCACCCTGTTTCCATTGATCATCCTTGAGATGTTTCTACAACTTGATTGCAGTCCACCTGTGGTAAATTCAATTGATTGGACATGATTTGGAAAGGCACACACCTGTCTATATAAGGTCCCACAGTTGACAGTGCATGTCAGAGCAAAAACCAAGCCGAGGTCGAAGGAATTGTTCGTAGAGCTCCGAGACAGGATTGTGTCGAGGCACAGATCTTGGGAAGTGTACCAAAAAATGTCTGCAGCATTGAAGGTCCCCAAGAACACAGTGGCCTCCATCATTCTTAAATGGAAGAAGTTTGGAACCACAAAGACTCTTCCTAGAGCAATAGGGGGGAAAAGGCCTTGGTCAGGGAGGTGACCAAGAACTCGATGGTCACTCAAACAGAGCTCTAGAGTTCCTCTGTGGAGATGGGAGAACCTTCCAGAAGGACAACCATCTCTGCAGCACTCCACCAATCAGGCCTTTATGGTAGAGTGGCCAGACGGAAGCCACTCCTAGGTAAAAGGCACATGACAGCCCGCTTGGAGTTTGAAAAAGGCACCTAAAGACTTTCAGACCATGAGAAACAAGATTCTCAGGTCTGATGAAACCAAGATTGAACTCTTTGGCCTGAATGCCAAGCATCACGTCTGGAGGAAACCTGGCACCATCCCTACGGTGAAGCATGGTGGTGGCAGCATCATGCTGTGGGGATGTTTTTCAGCAGCAGGGACTGGGAGACTAGTCAGGATCGAGGGAAAGATGAACAGAGCAAAGTACAGAGAGATCCTTGATGAAAACCTGCTCCAGAGTACTCAGGACCTCAGACTGAGGCGAAGATTCACCTTCCAACAGGACAACGTCTCTGAATGTCCTTGAGTGGCCCAGCCAGAGCCCGGACTTGAACCCAATCGAACATCTCTGCAGAGACCTGAAAATAGCTGTGCAGCAACGCTACCCATCCAACCTGACAGAGCTTGAGAGGATCTGCAGAGAAGAATGGGAGAAACTCCCCAAATTCAGGTGTGCCAAGCTTGTAGTGTCATACCCAAGAAGACTTGAGGCTGTAATCGCTGCCAAAGGTGCTTCAACAAAGTACTAAGTGAAGGGTCTGAATACTTACGTAAATGTGATATTTCAGTTTTTTGTTTTTAATAAATTTGCAACATTTTCTAAAAACCTCTTTTTGCTTTTTCGTTATGGGGTATTGTGTGTGGAAAAAACAACATGTAATCAATTTTAGAATAAGGCTGTAACATAACAAAATGTGGAAAAAGTGAAGGGGTCTGAATACTTTCCGAATGCACCTGTTGAGCTCCTGTTAGACAGATTCCATTTGGTTTCTCAAAAGGAGGCTGTGTCCGTTCAGATAGGACAGGTTCAGCCGGATACAGAGGCTATTTCTTATGGGCTATTGCCTGTGTATATTTGATCAATCTACTTGTTTGTTTTGTATGATATGGCGCTTTCACTATTTGATCATCAAAACCTGTAAATAAATCTACACTCTGAGCACATCAACCTGCCTTGCCGTCTGTTTATTTTATGCCCTTTACGACTGCTACAAGGTCCCTATTTTTCAATTACATAATTACAATGTGTTGTAGACAAAATAATGAAAAGGGCTGTCTAGTAGATTCAATAAATAGAGTTAAACTAGTCATTGCATGCATAGATCTTGAGACTTGACTTGCAACAACTTGTCACTCGACGTACTCTTAGAATGCACAACTTGGACTTGACTAGAGTCTCGACCCGTTCTACTTGGGAGTCGACTTGAGACTCTGACTTTGTGACTTGAGACTTGCTTATGACTCGAATAATAGTGACTTGAAACCAGTAGCCTATTTCTCTCATGTTCTAGTAGTTTTCAAATCAACTTTCTTTCATTGTCCTGTAGCCAAAGGCACAATACTATTCATATTAGCAACCCATGGTAGTTGTTGCATCTTTAGATCTCCCTTCTTTCTAAATTTCTAATGGATATTTTAATCTCTGTAACATGAAACCACTAGCATGTGGGGTGCCCTTTTGACATTGGTATTTTCCTGCTACTTGCAATATGGAACGAACATTCGTGTGTAGCGTACTGCCTTGTGCGCATTGCTGCGCTTATAATGTCCAGAAATAATAGTTTATTAACATTTTAAGCTAAACGTTCTGCTGTTGCAAGTTTGTTTTATGTAGCCTAGGCCTACTGGTTGGATGAATTTGGGATCTATCGTGCCACAACTGTCCCAGAGTCTGTTTGGAATAGGCTGTTGCTTTCTCGCACAGAACGACATGCTGACCAATAAAATAGGTAAACTTTTCTACTATGGGGAATATTAGATTGACATAGGTTAGTCATTTTTCTGATCGTTACTGGCTGAGGAAAAGTAAATGTGGCAGTTATTCTAACATCGGAATTCAGTAAGAAGGACGCACGCTGCTGCTACTCTCTGTTTATTATCTATGCATAGTCACTTTAACTCTACCCACATGTACATATTACATCACTTACCTCGACTAGCCGGTGCCCCCGCACATTGACTCTGCACCGGTACTCCCTGTATATAGCCTCCCTACTGTTATTTTATTTTACTGCTGCTCTTTAAATATTTGTTATTTACATTTTTTTACTTAACACTTTTTAACACATTGTTGGTTAAGGGCTTGTAAGTAAGCATTTCACTGTAAGGTCTGCACCTGTTGTATTTGGCGCATGTGGCAAATAAAATGTGATTTGATTTGACGATAACCTGACAGCAAAAAAGGCATAGTCTAGTCTTAGTGAATGAACAATCTCTGGATTAAGACCCACAAAAACATCAATGGTCTGCCTGTTTTGCTTAAACACGTGTTATTAATAAAGTCCTGTATATGCCATCATATGATACCACACAAAACCTTTTTGTGATATCAACAACTCTCCATGAGACACATGATCTGCCATTGGACACACACACACACGCAGACTGGGAAGTTCATGGGCCGGGGAGTTGCCATTGGACACACACACGCAGACTGGGAAGTTCATGGGCCGGGGAGTTGCCATTGGACACACACACGCAGACTGGGAAGTTCATGGGCCGGGGAGTTGCCATTGGACACACACACACGCAAACTGGGAAGTTCATGGGCCGGGGAGTTGCCATTGGACACACACACACACGCAGACTGGGAAGTTCATGGGCCGGGGAGTTCGTAGTAGCAGGATAAAGAGTGGATAGAGTTGAAGTTTTATGGCCATATGACATAAATTAACTGTTCTATATATATATTTCAACAAGCGGGAAAATCATTAACGTTGTGTTCAATCCCTTATATTAGACATTCATAGTACAGAGGCTTATTTAACAGAAATAGGATGTATGCTTGGCTTTGCCTCTAGAGGATGACCGGGGATGTCTCGTAAATAAGGAAATTAATAATGGTGTTGCCGTGCAGACTATTCAATCACTTCCTTGTCAACAAGCAGGTCATTTC